ACACGAAGTAGCAAAGCTTGTTGAAGTTTCCTAGCTCTCGATCTTGTAATCGGTCCATGAGGCATAACAAAGGTAGCTCCTTGGTTCATATCATTAACTACTTGTTAACTACGTCAAAATCCCATGACTCCGAACCAAAAGCTCTGATACCAGTTTCTGCTGGGAAGAATATGCAGGAAAATGAAATATTCTTAGTTCTCAAGCAAGAGCAATCCAACAGGGTCTAACTAGTTTTTCCCCTTTCACAGAATATGGTAAATTACAGTTTAATCAATACTAAAGAAAATACAAAATAGGGATAGAAAATAAACACCAGAAAATATACTGGTTCACTCCAAGCTCGGAGCTACGTCTAGTTTTCTGCAATATGCAGGTTTTACTATAATGGGAAGATTACAATAGGCCTCACTTTCTCTAAATCACTCTCTAGATACTACAACAATAGCCACCTAGCTTCTAAGTACTACAATAATACTTACTTAGGAATAAAAAATGAAAAATCTCAAAAGAATCACGAGAACGGATTGCCGACGATGCTTTATAGGCCAAGTTCTTACCTTTCTCTCTTCTCTCTGTCGATAAAAATGGCTGCTGATCTCCCCTTTGTTGCTTATGCATATGGTTTCTTCAAAAAATTATATACATACGTGAATAAAAGAACCAAAGGCGGTGGCAACTTATTAAAGAAGAAAAGAATACACTTAGATTTGGCTTTTTGTGTTTTCTCGGCCCAACAACTACCATTTTATATTGATTTCTTTTTGTCTCGATTACCTAACAAATAGAACATTGAAATTGTATAGATTAAAACAAAATTAACAAAGAAGTTTAGGAACTATTTAAATTTTAATCATTTGATGATGGGTGGTTTCATTTTGAACGAGATGTTTGATTCTAATTTTCAGGAGGGGTCATTCAAATTTTTTTATGCTATAATGTGGTTAGTCATTACAAAATATTGTTTGAAAATCTTCAATTTTCTACTATTAGATAATGTTGGTTATTCATAAGAGTGAAATTCTATAAAAATAAGACATTGCTCCAGGGTTCTGGGTGTTTTAGATTGATATGAAGTTATTTTTTAATATTATTATTTTATTTTGCTGTTGATAAGTTTTTTTTGTCATTTATCTAGTCATATTTGATTTCATGTTAGTCTTTTTTCTCTCTATTTTTCATCATTTTAAGCAATGTGCTAAAAACTTATGGCTTCATGCCTGGGCTACCCTGCTGGCCGCATGGTACACCTGGTGGGCCTTTAGTGGGGGGAGGAAAATCTTATAGATGTAGGCCAATTCTTAGCCACTCTCATAGTTAATCGTATAATAAGTTTCCGGGTTGGTATTACATATCGGCTAGGAATGACTTTTGTAAGATAGTCCACACACCCTCGCCAAACAAACATTGGAGGGATAGGTGGTTCCTCGTCTTGGGGGACAGGCTAGCTAAGATGGAGAACCGTATTATCAGGTTCCTATCGAATTTGGGGAAGTGGGTGAGTCTCAAAGGTTCTCGTCATGCTAGATTTAGGACTGTTTATTTGTTGAACTGAACTAACCAATTTTTTCGTGCAACTCTACCGCATCCTCCACCTCAAGTCAGCAATTATTCGATGGAGATCAAGGAACCAGTGGATAAGTTAGACAAGATTTGGTACGAGGATATCTTTAACGAGGTGAACCTATACCAGTGTGGCTTGGGAGAGCTCGTGCTAAAATGGTTTCGAAGTTGTACACTTGGCTGAAAACGAAGCGTGTCGCTGAGGTTGGAGACATTCCTGCTAAGGGGGGAAAACCAACAAGTGAACCTGCCTAGGCTTTTTAAGGTTCAAAGTGATCCTCTCTGCCTTTCCGAGTTGGACCACTCCAGATGGTACTAGGAGTTTCATCTTCTTCTTAGAGGAAGGGCCAGACTTCGTCTGATCATAAAGGAAGGAGATCAGATGAGGCTTCTTCCAAGTCTCCTCCGAAGTTTATCAGCATCTCTTTGGAAGACGAAGCCCCACCAACAGTGGTTCCAAAGACAGATTTCCCTATCCCTTCAAGCTCAACTTCACAGGGGAGTCTATGAGAGGGACTACTCTCAAGGCTAACAAGAGCCATTCGACTCAGATGGTACGAGAGAGTGAATGGGCTTTTGTGGAGAAGCCTGGGATTATGTGAAAAGCTTGGTTAACCAGCTGGCTCAACTCTACTTCACCGTCTGTCATACAACTACTATCATCAGCCGGACTGCAAGGAAAGTTAGCTTTACTCACAAGCGTGAAGTTACCAAGAAGATTGAAAAGCTAGAGGCCAAGCTGGAGAGGCCCGCACTGAGAGTGAAGAACTCGTAAAATCCACTTCTTCGCTGGAGAATTTCCATAGTCAGGTCAGGCTTTACAGGAGAGAAGCTGAGCTAAAGGTAAAAGAGCCCAAGGAGAAACTTGCTAAGGAGAAGAAGGATCGTGCTGCTGAGATGGCAGCACAAGAGGCTACCTTGAAGAACTTTGTTGAACTCAAATGGACCATCAAAGAACTTCCTGAATTCGACGACCTGGTAAAGGACCTGGCTACTCGAGGCTTCGACATTGTCGTCACTATGGTAAAGAAGATCACGCCTGACTTGGAGCTTTCCTCTGCCTATCAAGCGTTCGAACTGAGATGGAGAATGAAGATGAGGCTTCGATTGAGGATCCAAGTGCACCATAAGCTGAACAGGACGAGGCTCGGAAAACTCCTTGATTTAATTTCTGTAAGGACTGTTTGGTTTCCTTTTAAGTAAAAAGAAGATTATAAGAAAATTGAAAAAAAAGAAAGAAAAAAAATGGAATTCTATTTGGAAGGGTATTTTGGTCATTTAAAAAAAGGGGGAATTTCTGGAGAAGGACACGTATGTGTGTGTTGTTGATTAGTGAAGGTGTGTGACGGGTGTTTTAAAAAAGGAAAAGGAAAGGAAGGGAAAGAATAAATAAAAGAAAGAAAAAGAAAGCATATGAACGGAAAAAGCAATGAAAAGAAAGAAATGTGAGAAAAGAGAGAGACAACGAAGGAGAAGAAGAAAGAACAGGGAAGAGAAAGAAATCGAAGGTGTTTGGCTAAGGAGGAAGGTAAGAGTTCTTTTTTAGCCGGTTTGAGTTTTTGAAGCTTGTTTTTGGGTAAGTTTCGGTGTGTTAAACCATGAAATTCTCAAATATAGATTCCTTTAATTTGTGGGTTTTGTGAATGACAAGTTATTTGAGGTTAAATTGTGGTTCTTGGTTGAAGAAAAAGAAAGAAAAACAGAGAAAGAAGATGGAAGAAAGGAAGAAAATCGGTGGGTTTTGGAGAAGAAAGAAGAAGAAGATGAATAGTCTTTGGAAGAGAGAGAAAGAAACTTTTGAATAGAATTTAATTAAGAAAAGTAAAATGAATTGGTAAAAGAAAAGGGGGAAATCGCGTGAGAAGCTGAAAGAAAGAGAAATTGAATTGGTATTTGGTGGGACCCACACTTGTAAGGGTGTAAGAAAGAGAAGTTGGGGGTTTTTAATGAGGAGAGAGAATTTGGATTAATTTGGAAGATAAAGTAATTTCAATTGGAAACAAGCATATGTTGAAATTAAATTCGATTAAAGCATGAACTAATTTCGTATGGAATCGATATTACAGGTCAGGCAGAAATGGGAGTAAAGGACGACCGAGTTTAAAGAATTTGTGAGTGGTTACTTTATTAAATGTTTTGGATATTATTGTTGGAATTTGTGAGTGATTTATTTTCGAAAAGTTTTTTTTAGAATATATTGTGATAGAATTTTAAGAAAGTATATATTATGTATGTTTTAGCATTTCTGTTGATAATTAAAGAAAATGTGTTAAAAAGAATTGTTTTATAAATGTTCTGAGAATTTATGAATGTGTCTAAGAATTTAGAAAATAACTCTGGTTGTTTGATATTTGCATAAAATCTGGAGAACTGTTTTGTGATTTCGAAAAATGTGTGAAGTTTAAGAAATGTTTGATTTAGAATGAAAAAAGCTAGGTTGAATATGAGAATTTATTAATACTATATGATTCCAGAGGAATGTTTGAGGTTTCCTGAAATGATGTTAGAAAGAAGAATTTTAGAACTGTCTATGAGATTGAGAAATAAGTTTTCAAACCACCATGTTATTGTATCCAGGTGATTACCCGTATGCTATATGAATGTGTTTCTATTGTATACCCAGAAATAGAAGGCCTTTGGGACCATTTTACTCCGCGCGTTAAGAGAATTATTCTGCTGTGTATATTGAGATTACTTTATGCCAGTTGATCAGAAATAGAATTATTCTACTGTACGTATTGAGATTACTCTACGCTAGTAGACTATAATAGAATGTGGATACATGTGTGGTGTTGAGTTTTCTGAACCTATTTATTGGTTGAAAGAAAATGTTTTATATGTTATTAGAAAGTGTTTTCCCAGTTCTGTTTAATGTTTCAGGTGAACGATTTACAAATTTATTTAGAGAATGCGTGTTGTTACAGTTTATTATGAGAAAGTCTTTATGAGTTTTAGTTTTTCAAGTTTTATGAGATTTAATGAGAATATTTATTAGAACAGTTTTATAAGGTTTGTTTTGCAGAACTTCGAAACTTCAATTTTTTATGAAATAAGTTTTCCAATATTATCTTTTTTTTGTTTCAACTTACCACTCACTGAGCTTTTCAGTTCACTCTTTACCCTTTGTTTTCCCCTCAGGTTGTATATAAGTTTCAAAAAGAGAATGGACCAGCTTCTGCCACCCAGAGTCATTAAGAAATTGTATATCATTTGTAGTTACATCCTGAATAGTGTATTTAGAAAGAATTTAAGAATAAAAGTGATGTTAAAAGTTAGTTTAAAAGTTTAGAAGATTTTCGACTATAGACTCTGCACCTAGTGGGGTCCATGGTCGGCGCAGTCTGTTCTTGAACTAGTAGGTGTTATGGGACGGGTCGTGTCAATTTCGCTCCCGTTTTATCTAGTAATTTTGTATCGGGTCGAAGCCTCTATGCTTCGGCTTTTTCGTGCGTTGTAACTGCTGAGATCTAAATGACCCAACCACCTTTTTTCCTTAAGCTAATAGAATGAGATTTTTCGATCATTTATGATTTAATTTTATAATTTGTGCTTATGTGTTTGCTGCCACTTGAATGCTTGGTTGTCCTAACCTTTGACACCTTAATTTACTTGTGCATATTAAGATAATTCTTTCTATACGCTTAATTTTCTATGACGGGAGAATTAAACCGAGTCGAGCTGCGCACTATTCACGTGCTAATATCATTTCTCGGCCCCATTTGAATGTAGCTCACCCATTTGAGGTAGACTCGAATATCAAAAGGTGGTCATTTATTAATGATGTGTACAAGCTAATTACAAATAGATTCTTTTAGAGTCATTGATAGTAAATACGTAGGTGGTTAGCATTCCACGGATGAGGCAACTTGTTGCCGTTCAGGCAGGTTAAGATGTAGGTGCCTGGTCGAACCACTTCTCGGACTTTGTAGAGTTCCTCCCAGTTCGACTCCAGGGCTCTAACATGCTGCAAAACCTTTTTAAGGATGAGGTCGCCTATCTTGAATGTGCGTAACTTGACTCTAGCATTGTAGTATCCAACCATGTGGTTTTGATACTTAGCTTGGTGGAGCTGGGAGCGAGCTCATGTTTCTTCGAGGAGGTTGAGATTGAGCAACGATGCCTCATCATTGGCTTGCTGGTCAAAATTCTCGACATGCAGCGTCGGTAAGCCGATCTCTACTAGGATAACAGCTTCAGACCAGAAGGCCAAGCTAAATGGAGTTTCACCAGTGGATCTGTGCGTGGTGGTTCAGTACGACCATAGTACATTAGATAGGTCCTCGGCTAGGCGCCCCTTCAGTGACTCCAGCTTCATCTTCAATCCTCGTTTGTTGATTTTGTTTATGGCCTCAACTTGCCCATTCACCTGAGGATGCGTAGGCGGCAAACTGAGATGCTTTATACCGAGGTCATCATAGAACTTCTTGAAGCGTGTATGTACTGCTTCTAGTTGTCTGGAATAAGGGCATGTGGGATGCCGAAGTGACAAATGACATTCTTCCATACGATGTTCGTGTTGGGATTTATGCCCTAAAGCCTCATAATTTATTAATAAAATAATTTGATTATTTTATGTGCAATTTATATTATTAATTTTATTAAAATCCGAGGTTACTAGTGTAAACTTGAACAATATTTACTTGACATGCAAATTATCGTGTTCAAGTAGGAACCTAAAGAATCTACAGTATACGGATAAGGTTGGGGTGCCTTATCTTGGTAACACTGCTGATACGGCTCACTTTGTAAAAGTTACAAATGATTTAATCCTAGTTATTCATGTGAAGAAATATGAGTGGGGGTATCATATATAATGAGTTTATATAAGACTGGACCACGACTTGTCTTGTATTTTTTTAATAAGACCATTATGTGAGTGAGGGTATAACTAGGATGATTATATGCTCGTTTGATCTTTATCTTGAGTATGTTGTGAATTCTTGCTTATGCGAGTGCGTTCTTTGATTCACATGGGTGAGGGTAACTAGAGTGTGTTCGCTCAATAAGCCTACTGTTTTGGGAACATATTCAATTGGGGAACTGGGAACATTTCTACATAATATAGAATTCACAGCCACTCAATATTGGAAAGTGCAAAGTGTGTACTTCTCCTTATTGAGTGATTATATAACTGATACCCTTATAGTGTTGGTTCGGGGCTTGGATAACAGGGTACTCGTCTTCTTGATACCCTAATAAGAATTAACCCATGATGAGATAATGGAGGCTATCCATTAGAGAACTAGTGGGATTTAAGGAGCAAGAGATGAGACAATGGGCAAAATGGTAATTTTGCCCAATTGGGACCATGAATCAATTCGTGAAAGATAAGATAAGCTATTATAATTATATCCGTGGACATAACTCATCTGGAGTGCATGAGAGTGCAACCCTTGGTCTTTAGTAGAGTCACCTTGGGTTAATAGTAAAGTTGGTTAATTAAAGAGTTTAATTAATTAATTATTAACCATTAAGTAATATACCCTAGTCTTATAATACTAAGTGAGAGCAAAAGAGAATGTGTAATATACCACGTATATTTTGATATACAATGTATATATTGAAGGGATGTGATTCCCGGAGCGGAAACGGATTTTCGTTGCTGAATTTCGGGATACAAAATCAAATTACAAAGTAAGAAAATACAGAGGAAACTTTACCTTTGAAGAATGTTTCTTCAACGAGTTTCAATCGAACACCACCACTATGTCTTCCTTGCTATCCTCTTTGGTTTCGAGAACCGTGCTTGTGGGAGCGTTTTGTTTGGAATGTCAGGGAGAGTTAAGGGAGAGCTTGATTGAGAGAGAATTGGGAGAGTTTCTTCTTTCTTCTGTATTCTGTATTTTTGCAGAACTGCAAAAAAACAAAACAGTGACGTGGGTACCACGTCACACTAACCTCCCACTCCCCTGAATTTTTCAGGGGAGTTTAATATTATTAATATGTATATATATATATATACATACATATATATATATATATATATAAATCAGATAAATAATTAACACTTAATTATTTATCATAAAAATAGAATCATATTCTATAACATTTCTCTCTTACAACCTATAGTTCTAATGTACGTCTTATGCACATTATTTTTAACCTATAGTTTTAACATGAATCTTATTCATATTAATTTTATTTGAATCTCATTCAAATAATTTCTCTCATAATATATAGTTTTAATTTATAATTAACTATATATACTATAATGTATCAATATACATATAATCCCTTAAGTAATTTGAACATTTCAAATTCTTCCAAAACCTTGATCCTCGTTGTACCCGTTATGAGCTAGCAAGGGGACCTTGCGAGATTAATCGGTCAAACTCATTGACCGAGTTAATCAAGATTCGTTAACTACGGGTCATTTCACTAAAGACCCGCAGTTGCACTCTTCTCACTACAGAACGTTTTCGTGTCCACGGATATACGACCATAAATGACGAGTCAATCCTTCACGAGTGTTCGTAACTCAAGTTGGGTCAAATTACCGTTTTACCCCTGAGTTACATCTTACTCTTTAAACACCACTGCTCATCTAATGAACAACCCGGTTATGGTCCAACCAATAACCGGAAGTCCCTCTCGGCCAATGAGAGGGTGGGGCCCCTTGTTCAAGTCCCGGAGTCAGCATTTGAAGGAACACTCATCTACTCCCCTAAAGTTAGGGAGGAGTGAATTCCATCTTGTGAGGTTATGTTCCCAGCTCCCCACTCGGTCTCGTCCCCAAAAAGGTAGGAATGTTGAGTCGGCGACTTGGGCCACTCTCACCCATACAGATCAAAGAACGAGCCCTCACTGGCAGGAGTCCATAACTCACTCAGGATTGAGAATAAGTTGCCTGGTCATCCTAAGAAATGGCAATCTATTAGTTAACGGTGTTACATCTAAAGATTGCTTATTTCGCGGTCCAGTCTTATACAAACTCATTGTATAGGATACCCCCACTCGCATGTCTCCACACGAACGACCTGGATCGAGTCGTCTGTAACTTTTACAGAGCGGGCCGTATCCATAGTGTTGCCAGGATAAGGTACCAAGCCTTATCCATATACTATAGACTCTTTAGGTTATTCACGGGACATTATCCATTCATATATCAAGGGTATATCAAATATATACCCCGTATATCAACTATATACCCAGTATATATAYTGTCCCGATTACATCAAAAATAACCTTGGATGTTTAGTTTATTGGATTTTGGACAATGCAAAGCTATGATTCAACAACAAATTTATTGAATAAAACTTTATTAAATAGACATTTGTTTTTACAAAATACAAACTACGAGTTTAGGGCATCACACCCAACATATATAACATATTTTTTTTCTATCACGTTTCTCCTTAATGTTCACACTGTGTGTTCCATGCTCGACCTCTTGTTTGAATGGCTTAATATCGAGGTGAATGGAGATAGTATTCATAGTAAGTGGGAGAAAGATAGGTGTGACAACGCATCCTATGGTATTCACCATTAGTTTGCAACATGAAATTTCATACATGACTTGCGTGTCGTCCTGGTCGATCATCCCTACGGAGGGTCCATTGTATGGAATCGAAACCAAGGCAAACTCCAAAAATGTATTAAGGTTCCTTATCTTTTGCTCCAATATTTTTCTTCCATACGGCGGGATTATTGGGGTGAACCTTCGAGGTCTGAAAATGCTGGGTCACACTTTCGGGGAATTGTTAAGCTAGTTAGCAATTTCCTGATCAAATAAACGGGTGACTAAAGATTGTAGGAAGAAGAGTTATTCTGGCGTAAGATTTAGTTGAGAACGTCTCAATTCAGTGAAAGAGTAGTTGTTTGCTCTACGATGATTGTTGCTCTAAATCTTTGAAGCGTCGTGACAAAATAATTTTGTTAGGGTGTTTGATTACTTTTGCTAAAATTTGATCGGGTTTAAAGGATAATGCATGAAACTGATATAGGTTTGTTTTTGTTTTCAGCATGTCATCCTCTATTATTGCACTCTTAGCCGATGAAAAACTTAATAGCGAGAATTACAAACAATGGAAATCGAACCTAAACACTAGACTTGTGATAGATGATCTTAGGTTTGTCTTGCAAGAGGATTGTCCTCAAGGTCCTATGCCTAACGCCACTATGGCTGTGCGCAATACCTATGACCAGTGGATCAAGGCCAATGACAAGACCAATGTTTATATATTAGCAACCATATCTGATGTGATTGCTAAGAAGCACGAAAACATGGTCACCCCCAAGGAAATCATGAACTCGTTGCAGATCATGTTTGGACAACTATCCTCACAGGCTCAACATGAACCCCTTAAGTTCATCTACAACTCCCGCATCAAGGAGGGCTCGTCAGTGCGAGAACACGTTCTCAACCTGATGGTCCACTTTGTTGGGTGTGTTGCCCTAATCTTGTAGTTTGTATTCATGTTAAAACAAATTTATATTAAATAAAGTTTTATTCAATCAATTTGTTGTTGAATTCATAGTATTTCATTATCTAAATCCAATAAACTAAACATTTAAGGTTATTAT